AAAGTCGAGATATTCATTTTTTTTACTTCAAATTTCTACCCGACCTAAAGTCTACGCTTATTTAACGTAGGTTTAACCTTACCCTGTTATTTTATATTACATTTCTTAAATTTTTGGTTTGTGGTAAGATTTGTAGTTTCTTTACAGCTCTAAAATATTGAAAATCCAAAAACATCACGAATATTGTAGTGATACTCCGTCAATAAATTAAAATATATTAAATATAAATAGTGGGTGTGAATACAAAGTACACGTGGAATATTATTTTTTCGTGTTTAATGATTCTTCCATGATCTTATTGGTTTTCTTTACTCTTGATCCAACCTCAACTTAAAAACTAATTCTGGAATCAAAATCCAATTTTATGTAAAAGCGCGCATCAGGATTTAGCATACCAATGTCTTTAAAAGAAGTAAAAAAAATGTAAGTTTTTTCTAAATAAAAATATAAGGTAACCTATTTTCAATGTAATTAAACTGAAAACTATAAATGATAATTAAATTAACTTAATTCTTTTATTTTCGTTATATTCATTTTATCTTTGATGAGAATAAAATGAAAAAAAGCTTTAGAATAATAGTAATAATATATACAGTTAACATTATAAAATAATACCTTTATATATTGTTCCTGGATCCAGAATTATTTTGTCTTAATTTACAGTCGTTGAATTAACCTAACTTTTTTGCTGTTTACTTAACGAGTACTTTTCTTAAAGTGATGGGGCATAAATCCCTTCACATCAATATTATGAGTGAACTGGATGAATAGTCTTTTGCAAGGTCTAAAACAAGCAAAAGAGGCAGAAGTAGTTGAGACGAAAACTGTTGAAATAAATGCCAACTGAGATAAGCCTGAGAGGATTTTGGAAAGAAAACAAGTGGCTTAGGGCTCAAAATTCCAGTCCCACATACGCGACCTCCTTTTGGCCAGCGCCATTGGCAGGAAGCCTATACGTTCCGTGACATGCATCGCGATTAGTAGTTCGAAGTGGGGACTAATTATCATCCGCTATCTCGGCGATGTGTACACGACCTGAAGTTTTCGCAGTTATTTTGCGGAATGTGAGAAGTGGAACAAATAAATTAATTTAATGTGGCTCGATGAAAATGGTGGCATTAAATAATTTCCTTACATTAGTACTGAAAAGTTACTTTATGACGTTTATATGCCATTTCAATTTCATTTAAGATAAATTTAATTTTGAATAAATGTTTTTGTACGGCGTATCGGTTATAGGGAATAGGTAAGTAAAAAGACACAATCTGATCACCACGAAGGCTAAATAGACAAATTACAAATCTTAAAATTGAACAAACATAACTTGTATGACATGCCACAGAAACTTTTGTGGTTATTGAGAAAAATCGATATTGCTTCTGCATCTCAAATTTAGGGATCTCTCAAATGTATTTTTTGTGCACGAAACGTGGCTCTTTTAAGAATATAAATTTAAAATTATGGGATAAAAATATATTTGAATATTATCGTTAAAATGCGATAGTTTTACTAATCAAAAACTTACAGAAAAATTTTATACAAATAGTAGTATTTAATCTACCTGATATGAAATTTTCTAGATAGAGTACTTTTCACCAACATCCAAACGTAAAGATTCTGATACCTTCACACTAACACTTTACGTACACTTCATAAAAAAAGTATCCCAGAAACCTTTTCTTGAGATAATTAAAAATGTTGATTTAAAAAAAATATAATGGCGATGTTTTCATTTTCATGCCGAAGTTTAAGGGGAAATCTAGAACTTACTTTAAAATATTGAACGCAAAATGAAATGAATGGTAGTTCCCGTAAACATATAGTTGGCTTATTCAGTAAGTTTACCATAAACTCTGTATTGAACATCTTTCTCCTCATAATAATAAAACTTATCAGCAACACGCCCACATCAAATGGATTCAATCAATTTAAGAATATAAGGATGTGCCTGTAAATTCACGTACGAAAAAAATGTATAATAGAACGAAAAAGAAGCTAAATGTAAAACAATTCGAAAGGTAAAGGCAACATTTACAATAACAGATTACCTATAAAAACATAATATTATTAGTTTTAGGATACAGTTTAGGATACGCTTTCTAGTTCATGCTAAACTACGCGAGGTTAACCGCATGTAAAATAGCTACTTTGTACAAGGAATTTTGACCTAAGTCAGAACATCAATAACCATGTTTCTAAACATCGATGCTGAAAATTAAAACTTTGATGTTAATAAAACGTCTACCCAAACCCACTGATGTTATTAAATACGGATGTATTTAAAACTGGATTATTAACCATTGAAGTTCACGCGAGGGGGGAAGCTTAATTTGAAATGTATTGTTTATTGATTTTTAATTGAGATTAAACTGACAAGACAAAGTCAAAAAATCATCACAATCAACAAAATTTGGATTATTTGATTAGATAATTCCCAAATAAAATAGTACTTATTTAATGACGAAAACTCGATTTCATTTATTTTTTAATTACTTAAAAATATATATGTTAAAAAACTGGCGTAATAAATCGATGTTAAAATATACATCGATGTTTTTGTCTGCATATCGCATCCCTATTATATTGCCTGCCTACTTCCAAAGGGCGTAGGGCTACACCCAACGTGGGCAACACACGAGTGTTTTGCAGTTTGCATAACACTTCTAGTAAGGAGTCACGTTCCAAAAGTTAAGTAGCGATACTACACGCATTTATTTCTAACTGTTCGGCAGCATTATACTACTACGTATAAACCTGCACAAGTGTTTTCAACCAGCAAACATTTTTCTGTCCTGAGACTAGAAAAGAGGTCCTTCGAGTTAACTCGCCGTGAGCCTAACCTCTATGCTGTAAAAACGCTGAGAGTTTCGAAATCGGGTCTACGACGCTTAAAATTGCAATTGTCTCAAAATAAAAATTCCCACAAGCAATTTTCTAAAATTCAGAGAGATCAATAAAAATGAGATCTTCGTCATTCTTTTAAGCGTCTCTTTTTTAATACACCAAAAAACATTAAACAAAATAAATTTTTTGCGAAAATGTTATTTTTTATAATTTGCATTAATTTCAACCCGAAATTACGTGAAAAATGTTAATTTTTAAATTGTATTTTGTCTTTAGCTTTTGAGAACAGATCTTCTTTAAGCTGAAAATCTCTGTATTCAATTTCGTAGTTTTGAAATGTTAACATTTTGCAATTGCTGCAATTTTCAAAAATATGTAGAGCTCGCTGAAAATCGGACAAGCACCATATTTTTCCGTTGCTTACTACCTAAGTGAAATTTTTTTTAAAATTGCGTGATTTTTGTGTAAAAAAGTTTTTTAAATTGCTTATAATTCGCGCAAAATTATATGAAAACTACTCTCATTTACAAAGAATTGAACATAACTTATTTGAAACTGTCTAGAAGAAAATTTCATTAAGGGGAAAATGTTTATCTTCAATATTATAGTTGTAGGAAAACGCCCCCAAAAAATTACACTCCTGAAATTTTCGAAAAACCTGGGATTTTAAGGAACACGAGACCGGCACCATTCTCTTAAGTGTCCTTACACTAACCGAAGACAAAGTTTAATTTAAAAAAATGTAATGCAATTTTTTGAAAATTTGTTTCAGGCTTCATGTAAAGAACCCATAAAAATCAAAATATCCAAAGCCTGGAGTTGGTTCAGATCAATCGGCAAACATCAGTTTTGGAGAAAATCGGCTGAACGGTTTAGGCGCTTGGTTTGACTACGAACAGACAGGCAAGACGTTTTATCGTCAATCGATTTTTCGGTATCAAGAACCCGCGAAACATAGATTCTGGTTTCATCACATGTTAGAGGAAATAATTTATATAGGATTAGCATTTATTCACTTTTTTAGTTATCAGGGCCCGACAATAACAGTTTTCGTGACAAACATTCGCCGTTTTCCGGAGCACGATCACAATACCTTCTCGTCTTCGTAGGGGCGAGAAAGTAAAAAAATAATATAATGTAGGTATCAACTTTAAAGCGTGCAACACATTCGGTTGACAGAGGCGGGCCGCAAATTAACGACCTGCGCGCTAGTCTTGCATCTCTGGATACTGGAGTTCAAAATCCGGTAGATGCAGGGCGAATTTATAGTGAGCGAAGCAGGCTCGTGGCAGGCTTCCTCAGCGTGTCCCGCTCTCCCGCTATTTACCCCATCTTCATTCTTGTTACTCATCACATTGTCTTACATCAACATCAGATTTCAACGTTAACACGAGAACTAGCACTCCTGCTGAATGCTACTTTGGAAATCTGGTTGAGGTCAGTCTTTCCGTGTTTCATGTCATGCGATAACAGTTTTTTATGAAAAAAAGTAGATTAAGATGCGATAGATGAGACTTTTCAAACGAGGCAGATGGTCTAATAATACTTATTACGATAATAATTATTAATAATTGGTCAAGAAAAACAATCTTATTACAAAACTATTTTGTTAAGTCGGACTTAAGTTCACGAATAAAATCGTTTCCCACAAAAATAACTCAATTTTGGGCACGTATAATCGAGCTCTCCTGCATTCCGGAGAGACTTTCGTCATTTATGGGACTCGGCTTTATTTTTATTTTTTATCGCGAATTAGCCGTGTAGGACCTAGCGGTCATACACCTGCACTTACTGAGGCTCAGTAACATCTATCCCGTGCCGAAGTGTATGCGACTCCTTTTCGGGGGGATACACATTATGCTGAATCCAATTTTAATTTCCTAGATTTGCTAGTCCTGGAGGGATGTAAGTTGGAATGATGACAATAATGAAGGATGAATGGACGACGTACACATACATACATACATACATAGACACAAATACACCCATACCCGGGGCGGGGTTCGAATCCGCGACCCTTCCGTCCGAGACTGCCACGGTACTATGCTGTCACGGCACTATAATATCTCGGCTATCCGGATCGCCCTTATACGGCTTGTTTATTCTTATTCTTATTATTAATATTATTATTACATTTTTCATTCGTCTAGTCAGTGTAGGGATGGTGCATGTAGACGCTTTGCAGTGACGCCAATTCTTAACAATGTGTGCGCTTTGTTCGCAGGGCCCGACGTGGTGAAGTCGTTCGGGCTGGGGCTGGTGCGCCGCGGCTACTTCGAGGGCTACGATCCGAGGGTGAACCCCGCGGTGGCCAATGCCTTCGCCACGGCGGCCTTCCGTTTCGGCCACAGCCTGGTGCAAAACTCCCTGCTGCGCTGCGACCGCAGCCATCGCCCCCTGCCGGCCAGTGAGTATCCCCAGCCCCCACAATTCCTGGACGGAGTGTACAGGTCACAGGACATTCAGTTCTCTTAACCATTTGCTGGTGTCAAATGTGTAGTAATCCTCCGTTTAAGTTAGACAGTCATCGTCAGTCGTAGCCAGGCATTGCCTTTTCATCCCTTCAGTCAGGGGTCGGTGCCGTTAGCTCCTCGGGGTTCCCAAACGGTCACCCATCCAGGAACCCTCGTCTCGAGTTGCTCACCCTCCGTGACTTCACGGAGCGTAGGTAAGCAATGGGCTACCGGCACCAGCACAGTTCCAATCGTTCTGGGCGACGAGACCAGCGGGACAGGATCGCTGTGAGCGAGAATCCCGGCGCTGCCGTTATCGAGAACGAATGCTACCGATATTAGGGTTGTTACTGGGGTTCGCCCTCCGCCTTGGCAGACAAGACGAGGTGACGAATGGTGGAGGTGTCACCGGATCTCTCAACACCGTTTATCTCTCAGATGTTTATCTTACTAAACATCTTAAATTCGTTACTGTTTCCACTTTCAGTAGAGAGAGTAACATAAGTTACAAACTAGTATATGAATTCTACGACGGAAACTGAGTTTAAATTCATTGGACAACGCACATTGCAAACCTCTGCTTAGTGAGTAATTGAAACTATCCAAGCAAGGAAATGTCATATATATAAAGCAAATTTTAAAAAGTTATTAAAATTAATTATATAGAGGAATTCTCGAAACAATGTGTTTAACCAACAAATACTATCTGTTATTGACCAAATGATCATATGTTGAATGTTATCGCTTTGTAATTACTATATTTTCTATTATTATTATTATTATTATTATTATTATTATTATTATTATTATTATTATTTGTCACAAGAATGTGACTTCGAATTGATGCCCAGTAACGATAAAATAAAGTACAGGTTTTGAAAGAATTAAGAACTTTTTATATAATAAACAAGCTGAGCACCTTAATTTTTGCGACAAAAATAGTGTAATTTCTAACGTTATTTGAAGAAGTTTGGCGCAATAGGTTTCTAGGCGAAAATGTTCGTTGTCCAAAAAACTTGACTTCTTTGCCACTTCCTGGCACACAATCCTAATTCTCTGCGCTGCAACCGCTGCGTTGGGTAGTAGTAGAGGGGAACTGCAGCGCGGCAGACACACTTTATTAAGCCACTAGTCACACTGTTTTTATGAAGAAAATATACCACAAATTTTTAATAAAATGTCATGAAACTCCTTCCTGTTTTTTAGGGTTCATATTCCATAATTTTCATGAAAATCCTAAGACTAAAACAATTTATATATTTTCTAGATTTTTCCCTTCATGAAGAGCTCACTAAACCCGCTTATCTTCACCATGTGGGCTCAGTGGATGAATTACTTCTTGGTATGTGTGCACAACCAGCACAGAAGAGAGATGAATTTATTACAGAGCAGCTGACGAACCATTTATTTCAAACATCTCGTGAGTATATTTCGTATAACTGAATTGTAAGACATCTAAATCATAACCAGAATTATCAAAAGGGGAAATGCAATAAATGAAATTGTAGAAAGTCACATTGCACTACAAATAATGTGTTACATTACAAGAATTGTCAAGGTATTTGTGCATAGGATGTGCCCAAATAATTTGAATTTTACTGAACACTAATATTTTTCTTCTTCTTCTTCTTCTTCTTCTTCTTCTTCTTCTTCTTCTTCTTCTTCTTCTTCTTATTATTATTATTATTATTATTATTATTATTATTATTATTATTATTATTATTATTATTATTATTATTAATCATTCAAGCCTCTCGCTTAGCGAGGTGTCCTACAGCAGACGTCGGGACTTTTGGAGAAGCAAGGGGCCTGCTTCGTTTGCGGTCGGTCAGGATTCAACGTGGTTATATCAATAAAAACTTCACGATGCGTGCAGTACTCATGAGAACGGCCTTTTGCTTTGATTGAATTTACCGGTTCTAAAGGCCAAGCCTTGCAGACGCTGAAATCAAACTAGATACTAACCGCCACATGTCGCTCAGTTCAACAGCCAAGGCCTGGTATTTTCGCTTTTTCTCAGCAATAGATGCAACTATATTTCGGTCTAAAGGGATAGCTATGTCGACTATAATCCCTTTCCGTGTAACCTTATCAATCCATATTAAGTCAGGTTTGTTGGCTTCGATCCTGCGATCAGTGGTGACTGCTACATTTCACAAGCGCTTCCACCGTTTCGACTCCAAAACTGAATCCGACTTGAACTTGTAGAATGGGACCTCTTTCTGTACCATCTCCGACTTTGCAGCCAGGGCCTGATGGACAACCGCAACAACATCGTTGTGCCGACTCAGGTACTCTGTGCCAAAACAGAGCACCCGCCTATATGTGTTGGAGGCCTTCGCCGGGTTGATTGCAAAGGCGGCAGCGGTCCTCTACACTCCTATCCCCAATCACATACCTTTAGTAATTGTTAATGATGAGATGATGATAATATTGTAAATCTACAGAGGACTCTGGAAGTGGGGAAAATAATGCCAAAAAGGCTAGATATAGGAGTCCTAAACTGCTGTAAATCCGAAGCAGGTGTTCCTGCAAAACAAAACATTCCTCTACATTCGAGAGACTACAGATCTTATGAGTCGGTTGAATATAAAATCTACTCCAGGTTGCAACCAGCTTCCTAAGGAGCAGATCTAGGGACCGTCGATGCCTCTACAATAATTTGCATAAAATGTGGGCTGTTCCCAATAAATCAATATCTTCTAGTCTTTTGAATGACCTGAGAGTTGAGCCAAGTTCTTACATAAATTTTGCGGAACAAATCCCAGAGCTCCGATGACTATCGGTACGTCCTATGCTTTTACGCACCACATTCGGCTTATCTCGAACTCTTGTTATTAAAAAGGTTTATGTCTCCTTGGTTACGACGTTTTGATCGTACGGCACAGCAACATTTACAAAAAGACACGTTTTATTCTGTAAATCCCGGATACCAATATCCGGTTTCCAGTTCTCGTCGCGACACCGAACTGTTCGGACGTCCCCAAACGGAGCAACGGACTCAAACGAGTTGTGCCGTGTAACCTTGGTACAGTGAAGTCACGCTTAACTGCCGTGTTCTCAACGCCAGATCTTGGGCAGCTATTACAACTGCGTATGATTCTGGCTTAATTCTTCCCCTTTTAAGCCACATAAACGATTGATCTTTATTGATCTGCATCTTGTCTATTATTTTTAGATATTGTTCATGGGTTGGTTTGACTCTCGACGATTTCTTCATCCCTTTTGTCTATCACATTTCATGTTAAAAGTCATCAGAAGTTCAGTGTCTGTTATTCTGTGTATCTTGCATAGTCTTCTTCACAACGCTTCTTGCTACTCTTACAATGCTTCTGTTTTCCATTCTTCAGTCAGATTTATTGATTACTCATTAGTGAGTCGTCTTGATTACTGACTACAAACTTTCCTATTATGTTGTTATTATTATTATGAAATCTATCCTTGAAATAATATATTCAATTTTCTTTTGTGAAAGAGAACTTTGAAAAATCATTGATTGTTCAACAGATTTGCAATGGGGAATGGATCTTGCTGCCATTAATATTCAACGAGGTCGAGATCATGGTTTAGCTCCATACAATACATGGCGAGAGGCATGTGGATTACAACCTTTCACAAACTGGGTGCAAATGTTGAAGGTTATGTCACCAGAAACGCAGCGCAAATTTAAAAAAATATACAGGTAATATCAGGGAACCGAAAATTTTCCCAATATTAGGTAATACATCTAAATAGTGCACCTTATTGATGTTCACTCTTGACTTGGGTCCTACAGAGATATAGATGATGTAGATCTTTTCCCTGGAGCTATGTCTGAAAAACCTGTCAGTGGAGGACTGGTTGGCCCTACTTTTGCATGCATCCTAGCACAACAATTCAGCAATCTTCGAAGAGGTGAATTTGTCTTTCAAATTATCATTCATAAAGTCTTTTTATACTTAAATAATAATTCCTTTCTGGGTTGAAAATTATTTTTGACTTTTCATTTTCAAAATAAATATACAAAAATGCAATTAAGAAGTAAGTGAAGGTAATACAATGGAAACCTTTTAACTACTTGTTTTTGCCCTTAACACTGTGTTCATGATTTCAGGGGATAGATTTTGGTATGAAAATGGTGGATTTGAATCCTCGTTCACTCCAGCTCAGTTGCATCAACTACGTAAAATAACACTTGCTCGAATTTTATGTGATAACTTGGATTCTATTGATACAATTCAACCTTTTGTGTTCCTTGCATCTGATAATGATAGGTATGCTAAACTGACACTGTTTTTACTTGTGGTATAAATTTAATTTTAAAATATACCTTTATAATTTCTCTCTTTCTTTTTTCCCCAGAAATAAGTATATGCCGTGTGAAAAAATACCAAATTTTGATCTTACTCCGTGGACTGAACATAGAATAGTCAATGAAGATGACTCACATCATCATGGAAACTATAATGATCAAGAAAACCACTATGGGGAATCAAGTACCACCAAACATCCTCCTTATCACAGCCAACATGACCATGACTCATATCTTACTACTCAGGAGCATCATTATCACAAACCTACAGAATCCCATCATTATCACAAACCTACAGAATCCCATCATTATCACAAACCTACAGAATCCCATCATTATTATGAACACACGACTGAGACTCACCATCATTCTCATTATCAACAGCCAATTCAACCTCCTGAAAATCACTATCACAAACCTATAATTAATGACTACCAAAAGCCAATTTTACTTCCTCCTGAACAAGATCATTATGGTTCACACAGTTCATCAAAACCTACCTACAAGCCTAAACCTCAGAACAATTACTCAATATCTTACATTTATGAATTTGATCTGGAACACAAGCCTAAACCCACTCCTACTCCCACTTACTCAAAACCCAAGCCATCTATAAATCCCACACCAAGTTACACTGTGATTCATGTACATCATTCTGTTGAACACCATCCATCAACTGGTCATTCAGATTCATATCATTCACCTGTTCATTCCAAACCAGGTTATCAACCCCCTGACCATCCAAAACCACTTCATCACGGAGACAGTTATTTGCCCAACCATTCTCATGGACAAAAAGGTGATACTTATACTTCCCAGTCTGACAGTTATCTTCCTTCTAAACCTCATAATACGTTTAGACCAATAAAAACTACTACACAGAAACCTGTAATAAAACCATACTATCCTACAGAGGACAGTGACAGACCACCTTCGATAGACAATTACGGTCCAGACGTCTTTCCATCTGACAGTCACAAACCACCTGCAGACCCATACAGACCTATTAAGCCCAATGTTCAAGACTATGGATACTATAAGCCAGTGACTGATGGTTACAAACCACCTGACACTTCAGCATACAAACCACCTCATATTTATGGTTCTTTATCATATTCCAACAATTACAGACCAACTAAACCAACAACAGCTGGACTAAATAAACCTACTTATGGATCATCAAATCCATATTATGAAAATCATGGAACACCAAAACCAACTATAGACAAATATGGACCTCCAAAACTTGATCAAAATTACTACAAACCAAGTCAATATGAGACTTCTACAGTGACTTACCCAAAACCTGAAATAATATATTCTGATCCAAAACCTTCCATGAATGAGAATCATCATTCAACAAACCCCATCATGCAACAATATCCTAAACCAATTCGACCATTAAAAGGCTCTTCTCAGTACACAGTGATAGAAGTGCAACATGAATATTCAAGTTCAGATGAATGCAAAGACCCAAGCCATATTAAACCTTCCTCCATTGTAAATGCTGACAGTGCACATGACAGTTACCATCCCCCATCTCAAAATCATGGAAACCATGGAAATTTTGCCAACAGTCATTCAAAACCTTTTATATATCATTCGCACAACTCGAAACCAAAACCTCCATCGAATTTGGAAAGTGAGGATACTCCTTTAATTATCTTCACTTCTGTTTCCACCAAGTCATCTGGAGCACATAGACTGAAAGGAAATCAAAAAAATTCTTCCTCAGAAGCTACAAATTCATCCCGTTTTAATGTTTACAATTCTGAAACAAATGATGAAAATATCAAACATGATTTCTCAAAGTATGTATCCCTCAAGACAAGTCCCGAACTTCCAACTCCTGGACTTGGGGCTGAAGCCAGAAACACTGCACAAATGGGAGCTGATAATAGGTAAAAAATATCACTAAAGTATTATAATATTTTTCATATTTTATGCATTGGGTTCTTTATTTTCTGAACAAAAGTGTCAAATATACTACCTTCCAAAAGATGCAGTTCAACTTGGCAGCATAATAAATATCAAGTTAGGCTTTTTTCTACCAGTGATTCATTAATTCATTTCATGCCATATAGATTTTATTCATGAACTAAAATGTATCCAAAAAAGTAATGTTTTATGCCTTTACAGTGATAGATGGACATTCGATGCAAAAGAAGTTGACGATTCTGAAGAAATTCCTGAGGTACTTTATTTGCCAAGTGATCCTGAATCTGTTCGTGAATTGCCCCATCCCATCATTGAGGAAAATGATGAATTTTCTGGAGAAGATGATGATGATGATGATGATGATGATGATGAACTTGACAGCAGATCTCTCTGGTAGTATTCACATTTTGTTACTAATAGCTTGTTAAACCAATGTGCTAACATACACTTATTGTAATTTCATTGGTTTTGTGTAATTAAGTTGCATTATCATCTCTCATTTTTGTCTTTCTAATTTCTAGCATTCCTGCTAGATTGTTTGTAAATATGAAATGTAGCAGACAAATGTGTCATATTGCTAATGTATGTTAGGGGAAATTACCATGCACATTATTTAATTAAAATGCATGAACCATGTACAGGGCACATGAATTGTTGTTTCATATTTGAAACATTTTAAAAGATATATCATTGTTAAATTTGTATAAAGTATTTATTAACTTACATACAATGAAATTGTTGATAAGATCTCAGAGGTATACTATTAAACTTTATTGTTCTTCTCGACTGAACGTACAACTGATTTCAGTTACCTGCAATTTTCATTTTAACATTCTCTATTAAATCTTCAAAATGTCTTATTGAAATTTAATTTCATTTCAATTGTGAACATGCATTCTCAAGGAAGTTTTAAAACAAGATGTAAAAATTTAAATGAACATTCAAACAATTAGTGAGATTCTTTGAACTTTATTCTACTAATCACTTACATTTACATTTATTTTCACAATTAGGAAGACCATAATTGACAGATTACTGACTTTTTGGACTTCCACGTACATGCCTTTCCAACCCACTGCTTGGATATTTCACAGAAATGTGACTAATAGACAATATGTTGTGTGACACAACAGAGACATGAGATGACCCAATTCTCTTATTGGCAGAATTAAAAATGGTTGCAACAACAATAAATGACGAACAGAAAACATAAACAGAATAACTGGGAATATGACAATTATATTATGAAATAAAGTGACAGATAAATATGAACTTCCTTATTAATACTAATAACTTTGTCTATTTAACAACTTGCAAAATACTAATGACTTGACTATACTGACAACTTGGATAATACTAACATCTTGAATATTCTAACAACTTGTCTGTAATGACTTGACTATTCTAACAACTTGAATAATACTATCAACTTGATTATACTAACGATTTGACTGTACTAATGACTCCACTACACTAATGACCCGACCTTATCAATAACTTGGCTACACTACTTCAACCATACCAATGACATGACCACGTAATGATTTGACTATATGAATGACATGATTATATAACGACTTGAATAATACCAAAGACATGACTATTCAGTACCATGTTGAAATCATCTTCCTGACTAATACCAGAATAATATGCATATGAGAAATTAGTGTTACTCAAAAATATATACTAATTTGATAACTAAAACGACTTAAAAACATGTCAAATGATCAGGACAACAGATTGGAATGGAAACTAAATGTACTTCAACACATATTGGACAGATGCATAGACTAAAATGTAACAGCAAGTAATAATAGGTAGTCAGAGCAAATGGACAAGCAGGTCAAAAAAAAAAAAAAT